ACTAACCATGGGAAGTGGTCGAAGAAATGTGCCACCAAATTGAAGAACAATGAAAATAAAGAGCGAGGAAAAAATAGCAAACAACTGAAAAATAATAAAATAAGCATCCGAGATGTTAATAAAAAACAAGGATAATGAAAACAAAGAATTCAAAAGCGGCGTAAGGGTCGGAAAGCAAGATCACCTGGGTCTTTGTTCCGGCTGACGCGTTCACCATCGTTCTAGCAAGGGAACACGAATTTGGGTATACTGGAAAAAGACTAGCAATTGACGACGTGAACCCAATAGCATAAACCTCCTAAATGCAACAAAAACATCTGTAATGATTTCTCTACTCCTACCAATTACACGAGTGGTGTTAGCGTGTGACACGGCTACTTTAATGAAAAACTTGTACTAGCAGCGTCAGCCATGATAATGGAGAAAATTTTGAGATTGGACTTCCCTAAATAGGCTTTCCATTTTCAAATTTTTCAACACGATCCTTCTTCAAAGGTCGGTGGAGGTGTCCATAGTGTCGTTGGACTGCTTACTGGACCTGGATCCACTTCAACTACACCAATTCCGCGCAAACGCCAATAGCGTGGGGAGGAGAACTCAATTAGGAATTTCATTCACTTCACGAATTCTGATTAAGGAATCAGCAAAACCCATCCCTTCTCTGGCAACCTCTAAAACCTCGAATGAAGAGCTTCATTGAATACGGCACATCGGACGGACGGTTTACCCTAGCTGGAGATCAGTAAACAGTGCAGTAGTACTGAATGACCCCCCACCGATTCTTATACAAAAAAGATTTGAGCATTTTTGAAGAGAAGCCCAATAAAAACACCCCAAAATGTCTTCGAGGCACGTCACTCTTGCGCAATTTGTTAACGAAATACTCTAAAAGATAGAGCAGCTTGACCGATCCACGATTTCTGACTACGACGTGAACAGTGGAACTCAGTTTACATTTAGTGTCACTGTAGAGTCAAACCTGTTTACTATCAATCGAGTAGTTATTCTGTTTAGCTAACAATTTTGCCATCGAAATATGAACTGCTACGATAACAATGGCAATGGGAACAGCTTCTTTAATGAGATGTGGTAAAATCGCGAAGCGGGGAAGCGATGGTAGCGGCAACCTGCAATCAGCAGCTATTCAGAACAAAGAAAAATGTGACCTAAACAACAAATAAAAAGGTTAGGATTCAGCAAAAACATAGAAATTAGAAATTAGAATTTTTTAGGGGGGGGGATAATCAAAGAATTAGTTATAAATAACAAATACCCCGTCGGAATATCTCCAACAATTCGCACTTCGAACTTCTTTTCAAAGTGAAGAAGCCATGAAACAAGCGCACCAAATATCACCTGAATCACTATGTAAAATGAAAGAATTCTAACTTAATAGATCCGGCGATGACAAACGCCGATGAGAAGTGTGAGCCTAGCTCCCAAAAAGACCAGGGTCAATCGTCCGTAGCTAAAACGAGCACGGGAGTCACATCCGTTGACTTTTGAAAGGGTCCGGATCTATAATCTAACTAGAGGCATTGTGGTGTAAATACATAAACTGCTCTAGTCTCTATTCTGCTCAAGAAGTCCTTGAAAGTTATAAACTGCAAGCGGCTTCATTCCTGCCATTTCTTCAATTGTTCTTGTATCTTGAACAATTTTTGAGCTGAATGATACAATCTTCTCACGAAAGAGTAGATTCCAACAGGTGAAATGAGCGTAATCATTGTCGTCCCATAACTCCTGCCGGAGTTTCGACAATTTCTTCTCATCGAGTTTTATCTTCCTCTAAAACCAATTGGTTAGAAATATAAACATTATCATAATCATCGACATGCATCCATTCGCCAGGTAACCTTAGGATGCTATCATCCTAGGATGGGAAGCATGACTGGCAATTCAGCAAGACGTTTTTGGAGTGGAAAATTAGAAATGGAAAGCGAAAAGAAAAACATGAAATTGAATTTGATCAGATAATCGGACGGAATTATCTAACATAATGTGTAGGCGCGGTAAGCAATACCTGCCAATAACTAGCGTTAAAAAATGAAAATATAATCTCAAAATAAGAATAGACTGGTCAATTGTTGATGCTAATTTCATGCCTACTCTACGGTTAGCCTTCATACGGACTTATATATTAAGCAATACTGATAATTATAATTTAGTAGCATTCTCAGCGCGTTCGATTCCGATGTTCCAAAACTATAAGAGGAGTAATTGCTGGTGCTGACTATTATAGTCTTGATATATCTACGAAAAAAGTTCAAAAACATAAAAACTACAAACTCCCACAATTAGGAGTTATTCACGTCAATGATCCAGACTGTAAATTCTTATTCTGATCACTGCACAATCTACTGCCAGTGCGCGCCAACATGTACCACCACACAAGGCTCAAAATGGTTGCCCAGGTAAGCTAGTCGATCTGATCGCTAAATGGTTTCTGATATCTGGTCGCTTAGCTTTCATATCTGAATGGATGACTTTTAGAATCGTTAGCAGACCACCAAAATTCACAATGAGCGATTAATTTCAAAGATGGAATCACTGCAATATAGTTCAGTGGGTAATCAGACTCTGCGAAAAAGATTAACAATATGTTATAATTGACTATCCATGACCGCAGCCATGAGATCTCTCTGGCAGACCTCCGACGACGTCCACGCTTTCATCGAAAAAACCATGAGAGGGCGACCGAAGACCACATAACAGCTTCAAGTCAATTGAATATACAGGAAAACGCGAAAGCTGTTGCCGAGAACTCCCAGGTAAGTTAACGTGTGGAGAGCTCGCCGGAAGTTGAAGCGATCCTGACAATTTTTTGACAGCCTGAACAATCACAACTTTTTTATGAAAACAAAGCAGATGTTTAGATGCCCACTTAAAACCTATACGTTATTCTTCAAATCCTCAGTGAAGTGGAGCTGGATCATTTGCCAAACGATAACCCCCAAATCCTTACTCCTTCTCTTCTAAATGATTCTCTGCACCTATGAGATGTTGATTTCACCTTCTCTTGCGGGAACACTTCAAACATATTAACACCGAACATGATCTCCCTTGTTCCTTTGCTTAACCGTTGTCTAGACGGCTGGTACAGAAACTGCCATCCTCGAAGAGAACGGCGAGCTCCTTATTGAGCTTCCTGCTAGATGCTTAGTTGCGTTGCGACTTGAGCAGGTTCTCGTCGCAACTTGGAATCATGTTTTTTTATTTTTCAAATATTTTGAAACGTAGAAACACGCATAAATTTCTTGTAGAATGTGTGAAGCGGAGCACAATACTACGCGCGTAATTTTTCGCCACCCTGTAATTTGAAAGCTATAAATATACGTTTATGTACGTTACGTACGTTTATGGCAAGACTCACCGCGAGTAATTCAAATGGAATGGGAACAGGGGAGCGCGCTAAAACTCGAGGATTAATAAACTTCTTGCCAATATACAGTACTACCATAGCCACAATTGACACCAGGATAGTAATAAGATTCGTCCTGTAGATTTCAACCGCGATATCGAAGACACGCTAAAGTAGAGATAGTTAGATATAAGCGTTACAGTTTCACTTCAACTTCAGCTGTGAAAAAGGTTATGTGAGTAGGGGGACAATCGTTAACTCCCTGCTTATAGTTGGGGCAATATTTTTGGTTTTGGTGACAGGATGTGACGTACACCGATAGAGTTCAAACCTACCACGTACCAACATCGCATTTCCTATACCATCACGTCTTGGTGTGCCGTAAATCCCTGTGATGTCTTTCAATTGAGTCACGAACACATGCACAGCGGCACCAGTAGTAAAGCCGGCGACAATCTGTTCGGAGAAGTACGTTGTGAGAAAATCAAGCCCAAGCACGGCTATCATAAGCTGAAGTACTGCTTTACTTGGATGCTGAACCGGAATATCAGGTGCTTTGCGTTGATAAGGTATTCACCTGGACTAGTCCGATAGCTAAGGTGAGAGCAGAAGCCACTTCGATAGCTTGGAAGCTGGGCTCAGTTGCTGCAGACGTATTCGACACCATCGTACTTATGTTCTCAGATTTGTGGGAAAGCCGATAAACAGTTCGTCCGGACATTAAAGCAACGACGGCAAAAGAGCCTGGGAACAGAAGAAGAGTGAGAAAGCAAATAACTCGGCTTAATTGGCCCAAACATCCGAGGTTCTGCAGAATCAAAAATGGCCTGCCACTATAAGAGCCTTTCCTTGAGTTCAGGAAATCGGCAACCAGCTGAGCCAAAACACTACAGTATCCCGAGACGCTCACGTCGGTCAATCGCGTACCCATATTCCGCAGTTTCTCCTTCTTTGTCCGCACCGAAAGGCGTTTCTGGAAGGCTGATAACGAGGTGAGAGTGGGGCCTCTACGATTCTAACAAGCACAGTGCCGTGTGGCTCCCTCGAGGAGAAGACCCGCCGACGCAAGCAAAATCGGACCTTCACCCCAAAAGCTTCTTCTTTGCTACCTCTGCGGATTCGTGAGGAATGTTGTATTATGAGATGCTCCCGCAAAGACATACCGCTACTGGCAGCATTTACGCCGCCAGTCAGCTCCAGAAACTAGCGGACGCTGTTCA